TATACTCGACAGATCGCAACGTAGTGTTTTAGCAAAATTACGTTGTGGGTCATTGCCCTTAGCAATAGAAACTGGACGTTTTGTAAGACCAGTGACATTATTAACAGACAGAAAATGTAATTATTGCCACACGTCAAATATAGAGGATGAGACTCACTTCTTGTGTACATGTGATTGCTACTTTGACCTGAGACGAAAGCTATGGAACGCCGCAGCCACCATAAACCCACATTTCCCAACACTGACACCAACTCACCAGCTATGTTCCCTAATGACCAATTCGCACCTGGTAAAAATCCTAGCTGCCACTGTTAAAAAAATGTTTTATCGCAGAAAATATTTTAACATATGATGACACTTTGATTACTTTTATTTTATATGCCTATTTGTTTTTAGTTACTTAATGTGTTCTTATTCTAATCGATTTATATTGTGATTGCTAAAATACTAAAGAACATGTAATAGGAAAATATTATTGTTAGTACGATTCAAATTTTCATTTTATTTTTATCTTTGTTACTACATGTATTTATTTTTTTTTTATCTTCGAATGTAGATGATTAAAATCATGCTTGTTGTGTCTCGTAGGCCTTAAAGGCCGGACATTGTACACTTATAATTTTTGTTTTTTCGCAAATTGTGTTTTTATTGCTATTGTACAATGTGTGACACATTAATAAAACAATTCTTCTTCTTCTTCTTCTTCTCTATGTTAACCTAGGATTTGTAGTAGTTATATGTCAAGATATTTTCTGTTTATCTGTCAGACTTGTGTCATATTCCTTTTGTTATACTGACATGATACATGGAATTTATCTGTGGCACTCTGTTATAATAGTATGATTAGCCTCAGAAAGTATATTGTATATTATATGTCTATTCAGTCAATCTGTATCTTTTGTATCACTCCGATGCTGCTACATAACGTAAAGTTTACATCATTGTCTGACGTAAATCTAAAGTAAAGGGGTCGTTCGGATTACCGTCATTATGAAAGTTACCAATACGACAGCAAGACCTTTTCGCTAAACAATAATATATCGATACAGACGTCATGGCTATACACCATACTTAATTAGATTAATCTTTAATTCGCAAAGGGTTTTAGGGTCAAAGTGTCCATTTAAGTTAAAGATTTGATTTTGGACTATCAAATCCATATATTTTTTTCTATGAATCTTTTTCCAATAGGCTTATGGAAAAAGAAAATAAATATATATAAAAGTTTTAATTTTATGTTTTCAGATGTTTAGAAATCTAAAGCAATCGATATGAAATTTAAAATCCACAAGAATTATTCTGACTTTTTAGGCATTTTCACTTAGTTTGCTCCAGCTTTCACCTCTTCCATACCATCAATATGAAAAATTAAATTCTTCCATATTAGTTATGATCCTATTCTTGTTCTTGTTTTAATTTACTGTTATAAATGTGTCTACAATGGCCGTTGAATTGTAGTGACCGCTGGCCGCGTTAGAGGAGTGACCGTTGAAACAGTAGAATTTTTACGGGGGGGGAATTAATCGTGATGCCCGTTGCACGCGTTGAACAGGTGCGTGTTTAGTAGGGGTTAAATTACTTAAAAATCGCTCGGGGGGATTTTTTGGTGCTCGTTGAAGCAAGTGTTCGCTGATTAGGAGTGCACGCCCGAGCAAGTTCTACTGTATTTTATTCAAACACCCAGAGAAACAGAGTAGAACCGCCATAATTAAATAAACTATCTTTAGAATATCACTTTCTACGATTGACGTCAGATGTTTTACGTAATTCCTATAAGGGATTTATTTCAGAAAATAACAAACACTGGCCATGGAAGATATAATCTTAGACGAAGAAGATGTTCGCAAATATCAAGTCGAATATTTTATAGTAGAGTTTAAACGATGGCTTGAATGTCACAGTGTTAAACGATCAGGCAAAGACAAGACGAGCGTAAACGACGGTAACTGTGAAAAATGCAGTTTTTCAGAATGGCTTGAATTCTTTAATTAAAATATGTGACCCCCCACAGCATACTGAGTCACAATGAGGATATTTTGAAAATTGAGTTATTGTTATTATCACATTCTCCAACTCATTACCTTCAATTTGATGTATAGTTTGTCTGAATTGGGCAAAATTTGACTGAGCTGTGTCCATTAGAAGCTACCCAACTCACAAAAGTAAGTTTTGAGAAAAAGCAAGTCAAAGATTTGGTATGTTCAAAAACAAAATCCCATAGCAACCAGGCCATTTATCTGCTGTTTTGTCGTTGAATATATCTTTCCATGGGTTTTCAGGGGTGCTGAAGACGAAAATCGTAGTAAAAATTTGATCCGACTGTTTCTACAATTTATTTGCTATATTTTGTCGTTTTATATGTTTTTTATTTAGGATTTCAAGGGTGCTGACGAGACGGCTAAGCCCTCCCCAGGAACTGCTCTGTCAACACCAGAGTCTCCTGGTTAGCGTGCAATTAAACATGCACAGATAGGGCTGATCAAAGTCCATTCACTAGAATTAAACTGATTGTGTAAGAATCTTTCAATGAGTTTGAACGGGTGTCGTCGATTTTCGAACTTTGGCAAGTGACGGCGGTATAGACGTAAAATTATAGATTTCAAAAGATCCATCAACCAGATTGAAGTCAGCTAATTAAATATGTACGGTTAGCATGTATGTTCGAACCTGTTATACTAGGTATAGTCAAAGTTTCTCAAAAGCCATTCAAAATCGAAGTTACCGCATGTCAAAAAATGGGTCAATCTGATCAATGGATCAATTATTCAAATAACAAAACTATGTTCCTGGGGGTGGGGACGTTAGCATCCAAGTGAACCACCGAAGCTCGCCTATTTGATTCAGTGTTTGATGAGCACTCGTTACAGGTTCATTAATCGGGCAACACGCTCGACCTCGTACTGTCATAGGATGACTCTAAAGTTGTTTGTAAGGTAAGAGTCGAAGACCTTCAGATGTCAGACCACTATCTGTTGGTGAAGTATGCACTGTCCAGATCCAGCCATCAAGTACATCAATATTTGTGATTTCAAGCATGCACCATCAACCACGAAAATTGTTAAAGTTAGGCGAAAAAATGCCTGGTATAGTGAAGACGTTCATATGTCAAAAATCATTCGTCGTAAAGCAGAGCGAACACGGCAGAAATCAGGCCTTGGGATTCACAGGCAGATCTATAGCGAAAAACAAACCGAAACTGTCAATGCGATATCTGATGCTTAACGCACATATTGATTCACGAAAAACGCACACTTCTTGGGAAAAACAAAAGTTCCCATTTTACCAAAAGGACAAGATGATGAATGCTTAGCGTCCCCCTTCAATGAGAAGATATTATAAAAACATTTTGGCTTGCTAACATCACAGTCTGGTAATAATAATGAGCATTCTGAGTCTTATAATCAACTGTCCGCCTCTCCAGTGAGTTTGTTATCAAAGACGTTGCACTCAGTTGGCTAAAATCATATTTACAAAATCGATCGCAGAAAGTGTTAATAGGTAAGACAGTATCACCACCAGGCACCAGTACTGTTAAAACATGATGTGTCACAAGGTTGTTTTGGGCCCAGTGATGTTTGTGCTCTATACTGAATTTGTATCTAATATTATTGACCGTCATTCACTGAATCATCACGCATATGCAGACAGCACTCAGATAACTGGGAGTTTTGAGCCATCAGCATCTTTGCAGGAATTAGAAAAAAATAATTGCATGTGCCAAGTCAATTAAATCATGGATGACTAGTAATATGCTGAAACTTAATGATGACAAAACTGAGGCGGTTTAATACGCACTAAACATCAGCGGTCTAACATACATGAACAAACCATAACGATTGGAGACTCGAGCAGATAGAGATTTCTCCTTTTCAGCCGAAAAAGCTATGAGTTTTCTTAGATAGCGATCTGTCGATGGGAAAACAAGTTAGCCATCTATGCAAATTTTGCTATCTCCATTTCGTGCTAAAGTTCGACACTTTCAGACTTGATTATTGCAATAGTTTACTGTGGAGTATTCCACAAAATTTATTAAATATAATTTATTATTTACTATATCTCACCTATTCTGAAAGGATTGCACTGACTCCCAGTCAAATTGCACACTGTATATAAGTTACTATTAAATAAGGTACTATGTGTCAACGATTCGCCCCCTTCATACCTTTAAGAACTGGTATACATTTACATTCCTACACGCGGCCACAGATTAAGAAAAAAACCGTGAGAGTTTACAATGCAGGCTACAATATGAAGACCTTCGGGTACAGGTCATTTTCCCATGCTGCACCATTACTCTGGAACGCAGTTGATATTCATGTAAGGCGATGTGATAATCTCAAAACTAAAAACCTTTCGTTTTAACTCGTACTACAACTTGATCATTTTTATGAATAAGCTGCGCTATACAAAAAGTCATTATTATTATTATTATTAGTAGTAGTAGTAGTAGAAGTCCAATTAAACGTAAGAATGGCTTTTATGATCCAATCTAGTTTAATGACTATATTAGAAGTGGATAAAGTTGATGTTCGAACTTAAGCGATTGACTTTGATGTATTCTAAGTTTTAGCAAAATCCATTTACAAGAAGTAAAATTGTTGTCTTTCTTACATTCTGTTTTTTAAATCATTTATCGTCTCTCATGTTGAAGTTTGTAAAGTGATGAAGAACCTGTTTCTTGAAACTGTTGACCCTTCAACGACCGTCTTAACACAACGTAGGAGATTGTAGCCTGTGGTGGGCAATACCAGTGACGGGAGTGGTTGACGTATTCTGGTGACAATAGTTCAGAGTTCTCATACTAACCAAAAGTAGGTTTCGAAGTTTGCATTTTGCTGATGTCCCCATTCCCATGTTTAGCAATATTTTAGGCTTTTTTAAAATTATAAATGAATCTAGTAAAAGATTTTAAAAAAAAATATACATATTCTGAAACTGGCATTTTCTAGCTTGCGTTTTAATAACGTGCAACAATCCAAAATTAAATTAACGTGTCTTACCTTGATCTCGATCTTCTGAACAATTTCTAGATACAACTCCATGTAAATCAAACTGTGGTAATTGTAACATACTATTAGTTTTAACAGGATCAGACACTCGCCAGTTGAACTGAAGACTCTTTTTAGAGTAAGCAACTGAAAAATATTTTTTTGTCGTTTTAAGAACATCTATTTATTGCATTGCAACAGAGACATTTAGTTGAAAAAGGTAGAAATCACAGACAATTATCGCATATGCAGTAGCCCGCGTGTCACATCCAGATCCGGGTTATATGTTACAATTAAGGATGTAACGAGTCAAAAACCCGACGGTACCGTACAAAACAGGATTTTAAAATCTTTACTTTTCACACTGTTTAATTTCATTTTAAATATAAACTGTTAGACCCAAAGTCCTAAGAGTTTATTTATTGCAGCTTATTTTGTTTTTCATTCAAATGGGTCATGATGTACAGGTAATACAATGGTATGCTACAACGTGGTCATCACTCGCCCAGGTATCACGTGCCGTTGTGTGAAAGATCGGAAAAATGCTTAAATATTATTGTTCGACCCGTTATAAATATAGGAATATTCTAAGGCCCCAACCGGCCTCTATCTTAATGTGCAATGTTATAATGTAATCCAATAATAAATTTAGTTCAGCGTATTTATTGGCGCGCAGGACATTACGTTCATTTTTAAATGCAGTTAGTAATAAACCTGTAGTCAAGATTACCCAGCTTGAAGATGCAACGCAATAAGTCGCTCATTTCTGGACAGTCTTAGAGACGTAATGAGATCTTTCAACAAGAAAATAAATGATAATAATGGCACATATTCAAAATAACATTAGTCGGTCAATTACCGAAAAATCATGAACTGATATACTTAGGTCACGGACACCTTATAGTCCGTGGCCTTAACGCGTACAAATGGTGGTTAATCTTATAAAATGATTAATGGCTGGCCTGTGAGAAATATTTCCTGTACTCTAATTTATTAACTGTATAGAAAAATCACACCAAATCGAAACTGTTTATAGCATGGTAGACTCGCTTGTAATGAATCTTTGAATATAAAAAAAATAAATCACCCACGCACTTTCCACAATAATCGTAGTTGAAAAAAAACAAAAACAAAGTGAACTACAGTAACCAAGATAAATGTATTTAAGTCGTAACACGAAAACAACATTTTATCAAACGTTTTATAAACGATTAGTTATGGCCATCAGATGAAACTCATAGCACATAAAAAAAACAAATTATAGGCCTACATCATTTAACAGCTTAGCCTGTTAATAAGATGATCGCCTAGATTTTATGTCCACATTCTCTGGTAACAAATTAGATCTGTGTTTAGTCACGGTTCTGCCTGCGGCACTAACCGTACGTTCGTTAGGGACGGATACTCTAAAGGGTCAGAAATTCGCACTAAGGCATTTTTAAATTCTTTTTGTTCTGATGCTATATTGTCAACGGAAGGGCCTACATAGCCCGTCAAATAATAAAAATTCGACTTTTTTTCGCCACCGGTGCTAGGAGATCTTAATTCACTGCATTGTGTAATTGGGGGTCGGCGGTAGTATTGTCGGATTTATTTAGTTAAGCTGAATTAAAGTTCTCTGTGGTTTTCTGCCAAAAAATTGTACCGTGGAGCTGTCGAGAGCATTAATGGTGAAATTAGGCCAACATCATTGGGAAGTCCATCCGTATTAATATCCAGTCATTTCTAATGACACTTTTCAACTCTAATATGAGATTTGAGTCACAATCGAAACCAGGTAAATCGCTTTCAAAAAGACCAGCCAACAAGACATGTACACCGCTAGATGATGGTACTTTTTCTGTTGTTAAGATCTCCGTGGTGTCGACTAATGGCTCCAATACTGGGCAATACCGGTACCAAATCCCCAATTACTTTCCAAAACGAGCCCTTTAAATCGAGGGCAATACGATCTGATATTTTTGTAACAGAGTTGTCAAAAATAACTGAATCCTGAATTATATGTCGAATTCCAGCGCGTAGCAACGTCCTTAATTAGTTTAAGGGGATGATCACCTTGGGCATTACGTAACGCCTCTGTGAGGTGAATTCTCTTGCCACCACCTTCATATTAGCGGCATTATCCGTAACTAAAGAAACAACGCTTTTCATATTAAATTCATTTATCAGATCTTTGATAACTTTTGAAATGTTCATTCCTGTGTGATGGACTTCTATAGCCCCTGTGTGATGGTCTTCCATAGCACGTGTAGCCAATAAAACATTTTCCACAAGTTTTCCAAAATAAAATCTGACGTTAAACTGATGTAACTAGTGTTAGTTAAGCTGGTCCATATGTTGGACGCAAAGGGAAACATCAACATCTTTAATTTTATTTACAACCCCTTTCTTCGTGTCTTCATATATAGATTCGATATGTTTGCTTATTATAGCCCTGCAGGGCATTTGAAAATCTGGATTCATGGCAGCCGAATACTCTCGGAACCCCACCCCTTCTACAATGCTAACATGACGTATATCCCTAGCGCACATCCGTGCAAGCTTTTTATTTTTATAATTATTTATTATGAGTAAGAGTTTTTTACTTGTGAAACAAGAAATGCTAGGTGGTGTCGAACTATTAATCTTACCGCCATCCGTAATATTATTAGGACCGATATTTACTGATTTGTAGATATTTTTCAAATAATAATAATACTAATACAAACTTTATTTAACGAGGCAACTTATTTAGTCTGTAAAAAACTAATCTTTCCAAAGTCCCTCCTAAGCTACAAAGACATATATATACATGTTATATCAGGATAAATTCAAAATCATTTGAAATGCAATAGCATTTTAAAGAGAGAAGTTTGGCAAGTCATTCCTAAACTACAATACATATATACTCATCAAAAGAAAGGTAGGGGATATTGAAATGCAAATACCTATGCAGGTTGCGATATGATAAATAGTCATGGGCATTTGACATGCTTTGAGTGTATGTTCACAGATGAAGAAATTATCGCCCTAACAGAACCACTAAGCTGCACATGCGACACGCAATAGCGCCATACACCTGGGAAGGGTTCATTGTCAAATTTGACACTTCAAGGAAGGGTTGATGAAAACAGCCGCGTGCTGGTTTATCTATCCATGTTTGTTTTCCTATCGGTTATTGCATAGATTTACTGTTTAGCATATCTCTGCTTTAGTGTGTTGCGTTTAATTTGATCGGGAGAGGTGTTCGTCGATGTCAACCGACAACACTGCAAGAATAATTGGCCGTGGCAAAGCAAGAGGAGTGGGTCAGATTGCCCATAATCTTGATTGGACGGTTGATTGGTAGCATGCCACGACGAATTGCTGAATGTCTAAGGATTGGTGGAGCATTTACTCATTATTTAAGACAAAAATCAAAACCGTCCATTTTCACTTTTGACGGCGTATCTCTTTGCGAGTGAAATGGGGCCGTCAGATAAGCCGCCCATATGAACTGTTTATGTTCACGTGTAGGCAATTGGCCCGTTATTAACATACACTGGTTACCTCTAATAAAAACAGCAGTGCATTTCCGCAGTTTTGTATTGTTTCTGAATATCCCCTACGTATTTGAAGAGTATATATTATACAAGTAAATATAGGAAGAACACTATAATTACACACAAAATAAGATAGAATGCAGTTGCAAGTTAAATATACACGAAAAATAATAAGTATATCATCAGTTGAATATCATGGTTTCTTCAGTGCTCAATATAAATGAGTTTTCAGTTTAATCTTAAAATTTTCAACATTTTTACACGTCTTTATATCAAAAGGCAGGTTGTTCCATAAAAGACATACAGAATAATGAAAAGTACGTTTCATGGATTCCGTTTTTGAAGGAAAAAAAAGAGATTTGCATGTCTGTGAACGGAGCAAGATATCAGTTTTGGAAACAAGAGGTTTTTCAATAAAATAGGAGTTTAGATAAAGTGGAGTATTAAATGTAATAATTTTGAATGATAAGATAATTTTATTATAAAGAATCCTCTGTTTAATAAAGTTTGAACATATTCAAATATCGTTGTGTTTTCCCTCCCGTTACGTTACAGCACCAACCTCCGTGTCCCCCAGTTGGCCACACTTTGAAATCGCTAGTGCTACTCCTCGTATGAACATGATTACACCAGTACAAGTTTGTAGTTTTCTGCTCCAATAATGGAATAGCTTTTAATTAAAATATCATCAATACAACAACGCAGTTGAAAATAAGTGGAAATCTACAAAAATAGGGAAATGATATCCGGCGTGGTGGGAGATAACGTCTTACAATGCCCCTAAGGTTCTTATAGCGGCGCAGTGACCGCACTGCACCTACTCACAGATATGTTCCCTGTGCAGCTATAGTCACCCATGCTACACACGTCGATAAATTTCAGGTCGTATAAACGACGAAGGAATGTACAGAGACGGCAACTAAGGTGACAAAGTTAAGCAAACAAGAACGGGTTGTAGTTCGCGAAGAGATACTTTCTTTCGGGATAGTGCCCATGAAAGGGCAGAACAAATTTTGGACACCTTATCAGAAGGTAAACGATAGAGCATGTTATTTGAATCCACCTCAATGTAATATATTGTTATAACTGTCGTGGGACTAACGGTTTTGGCATTTTATATCGGGATCCCAAGAGATAAGGCGCTTCATGGAATTTGCAGGACCAATGAAGGAAAAGACGTCGATAATGTGACTAACCGAGCATTGGTACTTATTTCGAAGACCCAATGAGGAGCTGTACTGAATCGTTCGAATATTTTGCAGCTGGTGCTGAGACCAAAAGGTAGACACATGTTTGCGAAATACAATCGTTTCTTACCAAGGCAAACCAAAAAACCCAGCAACTCATAGTCTGTAGGGTGGATGGAAATAAACCGGAAAGCACTATTCATGACTCGGCCTGTATGTAGCTCATCCTTAATTTTATTAAGTAAAACATTCATATGTTGTACACAAGATGGGTGATTATTGGAGATAGAGGCAATCCGAAAAGGGGATGCGAAAACCGAAGGAGAAACCGTCCGTGATTAAATATTTGACTTCCGTTGGATCGTAATCTTGTAGAATGTCTTCAAGTCGATCTACCCATATTGGGGCTGGGACCTTTAATGGAAGGTGTACTTGGCTG